TATCCTCCCTTCTATAACATAATAAAGGGAACATTTTACTGCAAAGAAAATTTGATTTTACCTATCACTGGCCATGAATTTTTGTAATTACTTATTACATAAATGCTGCCTAGTGCCATTATCCAAAAGGCATGACCATTCTGTCCACAATCCACTTGTGCATTTATGAACAGAATTTTCATGATTTACATAAGCATGTCTATCAATGAAGACATTACAATGAGGTGCAATCTAACATCCATAATCTGATGCTTTGCAGATAGCAATGTAGAACAGTATTTATAATCACCTTTCACTTCAGTGACCTTATATAAAAATTAATTATTTAGAATTAAATTCTAAGTCTCCAAAGGAGATTTTCAAATGTACACATAGAAATGATTATAGAGTAAGATTTTTAAGAAACATCCTCCATGTCCACATCCTGTTGTAACTGCTGTACCATTTTTTCTTCCAGCTGTTTTCCTTTGCCTTTAAATAAATAATAAAAAACATAATTAATTCAATGTGATCCTTCATACTTTATAAAGGATCCTATGTGCTTTACAATATTAACCAATTCTAAGAAATTTAAGAGTAATAAGCTGAACTTTTATAGATCTTTGATCTTACAAATGCATAAAGTAATAAGCATCTACAGACATTTTGCATTTCACCCTCAGTAAAACCCCTTTTTAAAAATAAAGTTACTGTGGCTCATTTCTGTTGTTCTGGGGGTACATTGAAAACAAATTTTATCTACTTTGTTTAAATAGAATTTAGTACAAATATAATCTAAGTAGGACTTTTACACAAATCTACATGCAGTTTCAGAATTTGTCCTTTATTAATAAGTTAGGCAAAATTTCTCTTTACATAACCTACATAAGTAAATTTTTAGAAAAAAAAAATATACTTGGTGCCAGCTGAGTATGCACCTCAATACTATGCAAACAAATAACTGCCCAAAACAGTGACTACCAGTAAAATACAATAAATAACAAAGATAAGGTTTTAAAACAAAAAGGCAGCCCTCAGCTTTTAGTATCAGCATCATATGGAGATCTACTAACAGCCTGAGACTTTACATTTATAATAAGTTCCTCCAAGTCATTCCAATATGCACCAAAGTTTGAGAACCACTAATAATCAAAACAGGTGTGAGGCAAAAATCTTCTATGAAATTACTACTCAGATCACTTTAACATGGGAAAAATATTGTATGCAAGACAGGATATTACGAAGAGGAAAAAGAAACACCATATGCAACAGACTGGCCAAAACAGAAAAACTGAAAAAAAATTTTTTTTTTTTTTTTTTTTTTTTTAAATAGGGTCTCACTATGTTGTCCAGACTGGTCTCAAACTTATCAAGTGGACCCTCCTATCTCAGCCTCTGGCTTAATAAATTATATTTTTATAAATAAAATCATCATAAATGTACAATAAATAATATTTAAGTGTTTAAAAATACCCTAAGAAAGTACTCAATTACATAGACCACAAAAATATACACTTCATCTCTATACAAAAAACAGAGAACTCCCATGCAATATAGTACTGACCTGCAAGAGGGGCTCGGATAAGATGGATGTTTTGCTTGACTTCTTTAATGTCCTGAACTTTCTGTAGCTCTTTATTTTTCTTCAATCTAGGATAAAACATATCAAAGCCAAACTTCAGTTACTAAAAACTTCTTTAAGAAACAATAATTAATAGTATTGCTACTAAATTTCATTAAGTAAGCCATACTGATAAGAAATGCAAATTAGATGATTACCTTTCTGTTCTCACCCAGAAGGAGCATATGAATAGTCTATCAGGGTCTTTCAAATTATTCTAAGGTGGCAAGCAATGAACTTTGCCATCTACCTTGCATCTATTCCCAAATTTAAAGGTAAAGTCACTTATTAAACCCTTAGAGATGTACATCTTTTTTTTGGTACCGGGAAGTGAACTCAGGGGAACTTGGCCACTAAGCCACATCCCCAGCTCTATTTTGTATTTTATTTAAAGACAGGGTCTCATTGAATTGCTTATCGGCCCCCCACACACACCTATTGCAGAGGCTAGCTTTGAACTTGCAATCCTCCTGTCTCAGCCTCCCAAGCTGCTAGGATTACAGGCATATGCTACCGCAACTGGCTCAAGATGTACATTTTCTACCCCAACAAATCAAACTCAAAAATAAAAATATTATTGTCTAGTTTCTGCCTGCTTAAACAGGAATCCAACAGTACCCACTTATTCATTCACTATATTCCTCCTAGTGCCTGGTCTGACACAAAATGGGTGCTCAATATACATTTACTGAGTGAATGAAAGATATGATTAAAAAATTATCAAGTTTTGGACACCAATTTCTATTAAGTACATATGGCAACTCTACTATATAAAACAATCTATTAAAATCTCTAGATCTTTCTCCTCAAATAAATAACAAGCTCTGCGTATTGTAATTTTCTTTTAATCATTCAGTAATTAAAAGAGCACAAACACCAATGATGTTCAACAGAAGTGCTAACAAATTAGTTCTCAAATATTCAGGCCCCCTTTCTGATAGGTTTTAGCATTTTTTTTAAGCCACAAAACTTAAAAACTTCAATGCTTTGACAGACTTCCACAGTGATTAGATTAAAAGCAAATGTTCTTGCTCCAGAGAAAGAGCTAATATTGGGGTTAACGCAGAGAATTAGCTCTTAGAAGCTAATTAGAAGCTTAGAACTTCTTGTTAGCCATAAAACAGCAAACCAAAAAAAAACCAAATAACCCAATCAATAAATGGGCAAAAGAGCTAAACAGACATTTCTCAAAAGAAAAAATACAAATGGTCAAAAAATACATGAAAAAATGTTCACTATTACTGGCAATCAGAGGAATGGCAAAACAAAACTACAGAGATTTCATCTCACTCCAATCAGTACAGCAACTATCAAGAATACAAAAAAATAAATGCTGATGAGGTATGGTCATACAGTGTTGGTAAAACTGCAAATTAGTATGATCACTTTGGAAAGCAGTTCAGAGATTCCTCAAAGACCTGGAAGAATCACCATGTGACCCAGCTATCCCATTTCTTGGTATTTCCCCGAAGAACTAAAATCAGCATACTATACTAATATAGTCACATCAATGACAATTCACAACAGTCAAGTTAGGGAACCACCCCAGAAGCCCACAAACAGATAATGGATAAAAAAAATACAGTATATACACACAATGGAGTTTTATTCAGCCATAATGAAGAATTAAAATTATGGCATTTACTGGTAAATAAATGAAACTGAATAACATCATGCTGAGTAAAATAAGCCAGACTCAGAAAGTTAAAGATCGAATGTTTCTCTTACAGAAGCTAGAGCAAAGTAAGTGGGAAAAGGGGGAGGGGTTTACCCAAGAAAATTGAAAGGAGATCAGTGGAGTAGAGGAAGGGGATTGAGGCGGAAAGAAGAGGGATGAGAAAAAGGAAAAAATGTGGAAAGCAACTGACAAAATTATGTTGTGTGTTTGTATGAATATACCACAATGAATTCCACCTCTATTTGTATCTATAAAGCATAAAATAAAGAAAAAACAGTGAATAAATAGAAGACCAGTAGAGTAGAAAAAAGGGGAAATAGGGACAGGGAGGGAGAAAGAAAGGAAAAGATGAAGCACTGGGGACTAAAATGGAACAAATTAAATTCCAGGCATAAATGATTATGTCAAAATGAACCCTACTACTATATGTAACTAAAATGCACTAAGTGGAGGGAATGTTCCATAATATAACAATTTATACTCTTCAAAAGTATCAATGTAATATTAAAACAAACAAAAGATAAAAAACTATCCAGATTAAAGGAGATGAAAGAGATATGACAACTAAATGCAATGCATGATCCAGGATTTTTCTGTTACTATGAAGGACACTATGAGAACAACTAGTGAAATTAAAACAGGGTCTACAGATGATATAATAATAGTTTTGCATTAATGTTTACTCCCTGATTTTAATAATTACACTGTGTTTATGGAAGAGAATATTCTTATTAAAGAATACTCAGGAAAAAAGGGCATTACATCTTCAACTTACCATATAGTATCAAAGATTAAGTAAATATGAGAAAATGCTATCAGAATATATGACAGTTCTTTATACTATTCGTCAAAGTTTTTTGCAGATCTAAAGTCATGTCAAAATAAAAAGTCTCAAAAGATAATAATGCTTCTAGATATCTACTAGTGATCATTTTTTCTGGAGTTACTCTACACAAATATTCATACCTGTTCATTATAAATTTAGCTTGGCGTTTCTGTTTGATCTCTTCAACTCTCTTCATTGCATCAACTACAAAAAAATTCATAAAATCAGAAAACACGTGTACATTCAAGCAATATGATTATAATCAACAAGTGCTTTAATGAACATTTATTATTGATTTAACAGATTAATTTAAGTGAAAAAAATCCACTGCAAAAACAATCCTTACTGAAAAAGCTAAAAAAGGAATATACTTTTAGTTGACATCACTGTCAACCTTCTCTAATTTTTTTGCAAAGCCTTTGCTTTTAAACTTTTCTTATATTTAAACCAGTCCAGTGCTTTTCAAATTTTATCACACAGAGAGCTTGGATTATTGATAACTTTTCCCATTCTTAGTTTGTAATCTCCATAGACAAAAGACAGCACATTTCTAGTCATGAAAATTTTTTCTTCAAGTGCCTGGGATATGGTGTGGTCATGACAAATACTGGTAAAATGAACCAATCAATATTGCTAAATTCTCAACCACCATAATCCAACTGTTTTGAAAAATGTTTACGGGAGTCATGGCTATCAAGAAAATGAGTTCAATTATAATCCAGAATGTATATCAGTACTATCCAATAAAACAAAATACATATGTAACTTTAAATTGTCCAGTAGCTGTATTTAAAAAAAAAAAAAAGTAAAAAGACACAGGTGGAAATAAAAGGATAAATCTTGTTTAGCTCAACATATCCAAAAAAACTGTCATTTTCAACATGTACAGCAACATAAAAAATTGTTAATCAAATATTTAATCTCTGTTTTCATACTAAGTCTTCACAATCTAACATGAATTTTACATGTATAACACATCTCAATTCCGACTAGTCATATATATATGAAAAATGGGGAGTAACTAGGAATGAACAAATTCCTTAAAAGAGTATAATATATTTTTCTGGAACACTACTGACAATTTTTACTCTATAAGAAACAATTTTTAGACTTTAATACTGTCTACCCAGCAGCTCTTTTTCAAAAGTCTATTTTTAGAATCCCAGTGCAAAAGGATAACAGAATCTGTACAGAAAAAAAAAATCAATGAAACACTGCTTCTTACAGAATTTACAGAGGTATTAATAAGTGGGGCTAGGAATGAGACTCTGTTATAATACCTGAACCAATTACTATCTAATGAGTACTCAATAAAGAGGGCTATGTGTGACCTTGATATGCATGAACAGTGGAATCTACAAGCTCTCTCAAGAGATTAAGTCCAACACATAGGACTTTTTTTCATTAAAAGTCTGCCTACTTCTTGAGGGTGGAGAGTGGGGAAGACTAGGTATTATTTTAAATTTCAGTAAAATCTATAGTTTCATTTTTACCTAAGTCAAATACTTACAAGTTATCTTAGAAAATTTGTAATGATCACCTTAAATGCTGTACTTTTTTTCTTTTTCCAGTTTGAAGATGAAAGCCAGGCCTTAAGTATGCTAGGAAAGCAATCTATCACTAAGCTACATCCCCAGTCTGGTGGGGTTTTTTTAAGTATTAAACTTTATAATGTCTTCAAAATACAGTTTATAGTCCTAAACTAAATGATCTAAAGTGGGAAAGTGCTTTGGAGTTTTATGTATATTTTAACTGTGCCACACTCAACTGAAGATTATTTTTCCTTCTCTATTTTTTTCAGAGTTTTGTATATTTTTGACACCTCTGTGTGGGCCCTTCAAATTTAATTTTATATTATTTTTATAATGGAACCTCAGCCAACTCTGTAAAGGAATTCAAATAGCTCATAATTAAATATATAAATACAACCATGAAAAAGAGAATGAAAACATTTAAAAGCAAAGCAATAAAAATTATAGACCTAATATTTAAAGAACAAACTGACATTTAAAGTTATAGTAACACCCTAAACCAGTCTCTCCTGAATATTCTTTGTATTCCCCTGTGACTTACTAGTTTTATTCCATAGTTCTCGCTGGTATTTGACAGGTTCATTTCTACGTTTTTCAAATTCAAATGAGTTATCCTGAAAAAAGAAACACAGTGCTGGTAAAAGAAGTAAAAAGGAAGCATTTCTTAAAACATTCTTCTTTTTACGAAAGTTCTGAGGGAACACTTATTAAGATTTACCTTCCCCCACCAGTGTGATCCCAGAGAATATGGGTTTTCAATCTTTTTCTCCTTTTTATATCTCCATTTATAAGATGTTCACCTCTCTCTCTATATATATATACAGATGAGCCTCAAAGAGAGAGGAGTGGAGAATATTACCCCCATCTAAAGAGGGGCACTGAACAATGATGGTATAAATGTATACATAAACTTTGGTAATATATTGAATCATATGAAGCTGCCATTATTCATAGATCAAAAGAGTCAAATAGCCAGGCACGGTGGTGCATGTCTGTAATCCCAGTGGCTCAGGAGGCTGAAGCAGGATGATCATAAGTTCAAAGCCAGCCTTAGCAAAAGCAAGGCACTAAGCAACGCAGCGAGTATCACTTGCATTTGAGGTGCTTTGCTGCTTCTTATTCATACTGAACATTATTTTTGTGACAATAATTATGACTGCACTTGCATCCTATCTAATACTATTTCATGTTCACTGAAAAACACTGTTTCTGGGAAACCAGAAAAGGGATTCATGCCAAATGTTTGTAGATACCACCCTTAAATAGTGCAGAGGGGAAAAGGTTTGGGGTTCTGAAGGAAAAAGAGGCCATGGAAGAAGGGAAAGTTTAAAATTCTTTTTCCCTCAAAGCTAGCCCAAACTATAGCCTTCACTGTCTCCCTTTACAGGGAACAAGCATTAAGAGATCCTTTTATCAACTCAATAACATCAATATGATCAGTGTGATACATCCAATGAAATCTCATTCTAGACTTCCCCCTATTCCTCTTACTACCAAAACTACTAACAATTAGAAACTGACAAATAAGTGTTATTACAAACCTCATCTTGAACTGCCATTCAAGAATCCTTTAATCTCCTAGTTTCCTCTCAAATCCTTTAATAGCATAAACCAATTGTGTTCCTATACCTCAATGATGAATCAACTGAAGAGAAATTAGGAAAACCATCCCATTCACAATAGCTTCAATAAAAAATAAAATACTTGGGAATCAATCTAATAAAAGATGCAAAAGACCTTGACAATGAAAACTGCAGAACACTGAAGAAAGAAATTGAAGAAGACCTTTGTAAGATAAAATGATCTCCCACGTTCTTGGATAGGCAGAATTAATACTGTCAAAATGTCCATACTACCAAAAGCGCTATACAATTTAATGCAATTCCTACTAAAATTCCAATGACATTCTTCACAGAAAAAGTAATCATGAAATTCATCTGGAAAAAAAATAAGCCCAGAATAGCCAAAGCAATCCTCATCAAGAAAAGTGAACCAGGAGGCATCACGATACCAGACCTTAAATTATAATGCAGAGCTATCATAACAAAAAACAGCATAGTATTGGCACCAAAATGGACATGAAAACTAAACCCACATAAATACAGTTATCTCATACTAGACAAAGGCGCCATAAAAGAACCTTAGGGAAAAGATAGCTTCTTTAACATATGGTGCTGGGAAAATTGGAAATTCAAATATAGCAAAATGAAATTAAGGCCCTATCTCTCACCATGCACAAAATTCAACTCAGAGTGGATCAAGGACCTAGGCATTAGAGGCCATGTGCCTACTAGAAGAAAACGTACGCCCAACTCTCCATTGTGTCGGTTTAGGAACAAGGTTCCTCAGCAAGACTCCTAAAGTGCAACAAGTAAAATCAAGAAACAATAAATGAGATGGTATCAAACTAAAAAGCTTCTTTACAGCAAAGGAAACAATTAACATGGAGAGCCTACAGAACAGGAGAAAATCTTTGCCACCTATACAGCCTCAATTTCCAGGATACATACAGAACTCAAAAAAATTTAACGCCAAAAAACAAATAACCCAATCAATAAATGGGCAAGGAACTGAACAGACACTTTACAGAAGGAGAAATATGAATGGCCAACAAATATATGAAAAAATGTTCAACATCTCTAGCAATTAGAGAAATGCAAATTAAAACTACACTAAGACTCCACCTCACTGTAGTCAGAATGGCAATTATGAAGAATACAAGTCACATAAATGTTGGTGAGGATGTTGGAAAAAAGGTACACTCATACACTGCTTGTAGGACTACAAACTAGTACGACACTGTGAAAAACAGTATAGAGATTCCTCAGAAAACTTGGAATGGAACCATCATTTGACCCAGTTATCCCACTCATCAGTATATACTCAAAGGACTTAACATCAGCATACTACAGTGACACAGCCACATCAATGTTTACAGCAATTCAGTTCACAATAACTAAGCTATGGAACCAACATAGGTGCCCTTCAACAGATAGATAGATTAAGAAAATGTGGAACATACACATGATGGAATATTACTCAATCATAAAGAAGAATGAAATTAAGGCATTTGATGGTAAATGAATGGAAATGGAGACAATCACACTAAGTGAAATAAGTCAATCCCCCCACAAAAAACAAAGGCCAATGTTCTGATATGCAGATGCTAAAACACAATAAGAGGGAGGGGGAGGGAAGAACATAAGTTTATTATATTGGACTAAAGGAAATGAAGGGAAGGGAGAAAGATGGGAATAGGAAAGACAGTAGAATCAATCAAGACATAAATTTCCTATGCTGATGTATGAACACATGACCAGTGTAACTCCACATCATGTTCAACCACAAGAATGGGATCCTAATTAGAATAAGTTATACTCCATGTATGTATAATATGTCAAAATACACTCTACTGTCATGTATATCTAAAAAGAACAAATAAAATAACCCCCCAAAAAAATCATTGAACAACAATTTCCAATTGTACCTCAATCCACTTACATAGTTTTCCTTTGTTTTCGAGAGCTAAAAAATAGTCTTGTGAGGATAAGAAACAACTTCTATAAAACTGGTGATTTTTTCTTTTTCAAAAGTCTACAGAATGATGATTTTTAGGATCATGGGAGAATAAGATTATAACCAAATATAATGAAATACTCACAATTATGTTATAAGAACCCCTGTTATGGTTAACTAGATACATAAACCCTCCCCCAAACTAAATTTTGGAAAATGTAAAAATCATATTAACAGCTAACTATACTCACCACTGTAAGCTCTTTGCCAGCTGCTTTCCGGAATGCTTTAGTCCACCTGACCTTGCGAGGATTACGCTTCTTTTTAAAGTTCTTATGACATTTGGATTTACAGAATCTGAATACCTACAAGAAAAGTAAGTTAAAAAATATTAAAAAAGGTCAACGTTAAAAATTGTCCTATCATAAGATGTTACCCCTGTAAAACAAAAAAAATTATAAAGTCTGAGAAATGACAACGGTTTCCACTCATAATTCTTTCTACCACTCATAATTCTTTCTACTTAAACCATTTAGAAATGTGAGAGACATATGAGAATAAATGAAAACAGAACTCGTTTGTAACTGTTAAACATTACTCCAACTAAAGGATAAGGGGTCTGAAAATATAAATAAAAGCTACTAATCACTGTTATCAAATAATAAAAAATAATACCTTACAATGATCTTGAATAAAGGAAACAGTTTTAAGAAAAGCTATTTTAAGTCCCTTCTCAATTCAGGATAATTCTCAAAATTAAGGTTCTATTTACTCCAATGGGGGCAAAAGTTTCAAACAATCATTCTGAAATCTCCTTTGATTGAAATCTTTTCATCTGGATAAAACCACCAAATTTCAAACCAACAACAGATTGTCTAATTCTAAAGAATGTATTGACAGATCTAATAATAAGAGTTTATTACTTTGATTTTCCACCTTCATTCCCAAAGATCTGATCCTTTAATTAATAGTTAAGTTATAACTTAATGATGCTTCAATGTGTCCCTGTTTTTATAAGTCTAAACTGCATTATTTTGTTACTTTGCAATATTATAGAATACAATTCAATTTGTGTATGTTAGTACAGGAAATATTAAAAGTAATTCTTTGAGCTTATGGATCCTGATTAACTTGAAGTCTCTTACATAGAAGATGTGACACAATTAAATATGTTAAAAGAACAGTATAAGTAATTTAAGTAAGCCTGTGTGTATACCACAAATCTTAATATTGCTCACTTTATATACATTGTTCTATAGGGAACTTCAAGCAGGTACACACAGTAAGAAACTTTCCCTTCAATACCAATTTAAACCAATCTATACACAAACCTAGAGAGCCCTCTTAAAAAATCCGAATGACAACATTTGGTTAATTTCAAATCAACTAAAAAACATGAGAACTACTACAAGCTCCTACAGTAACCCACCAGGAAACTGTTATCAGTAAAATGTATTTTAGTACTTTCAGCTCAAATAATATCACCTTTTAAATAAAAGTTTCCAACATTTAATACCTAATAGATAAGCCCTAAGCAAATTCTCATTTCTCAAATCTAGATAATGATGGGTTTGAACTTGTTCTGGGTCTTCTCAACTCCAAACAGAGCCTATAAGAAATCTACTTGACTCCACACCTAATAGGTATTATCTGAATAACAGAATGAAGTATTTGAAGAGATTGGAGTCACTGGAGATAGGATAGGATTCAATTAGCAAATAAGGAGCACCTGCAAGCCTGAGGTTCTACTAGCTGGTAGAGATATCAGAATAATTAAAACATAGTGCCCTATCTTAAGAAGTTTAATCTAACAATGTGAGTCTTACTTTGCAAACAAAAAGATTTGAGATCAGACCAAGAAATAAACAATGAGATTTTAAAACTATATAAATAATGTATAAAGTAATAAAAAAATACATTAGGAAGTGGTTAAATCTATGCTGGGTAGGCCATGGATGGACTATGTATAAGCCAAAGCTTCACAGGCTCACATTTCCTTTTCATCTAGCCCCTTACCATTTTCAGTCTTCAACATACCAATAAATGATTCATAAACTACCCTGGCCTAACACTGTTCCAATCTTTCTTTTTCCACTAATCCAACCAACATTTATTAAGCCCTCATTAACAGTGTATGTAAGTATGGGAAAATATAGAGCAATAGCACTAACTTTGCCCTGTGAAGCCTCCTAAGAAGAGTGAGAGGAGAAGTAACTATCAAAGACTTGGTGAGGTCTGGCGTTATAGCTCAGCGGTAGATCGCTTGCCTAGCACACATGAGGCACTGGGTTCAATCCTCAGCACCACATATAAATAAAATAACCGTATTGTGTCCACCTACAAATTAAAAAATTCTTTTTTAAAAAAGAGTCTCATGAACAAAGGCCATAAAAGCTGAAAGAATACAAGGAGGCTTGTATTCTTTCAGCTTTTAACTATAGGAGGCTATACAGATAACACATACCAAGTTCAAATTGGAAGGACAGAAAGAAGGTTAAGACATCATTATTCTTGCAGAGGCAAAATGGATAGGACTTGGAAAAAATAAACACAAAAGATGAAAAATTCAATGACTCTCTGTTTCTAACAAAACTACCTTAAGAAGAGAGGGTGGTATTAATTCAAAAAGCAAAAAGATTTGAGGCAGTAAGAATTTCTTTTTCAGTAGATCCACTGAGATACATGCAGAACTTCCCCACCCAATGGAAAATTCAGATATAGAGCTGAGAAGATACAGATTCAGGAATCATCAACATAAAAACGATGAGAAATTTCTTCTTTGTCAGTGCTTCAGGGCCTCTACCTCCAATCATTCCCATAATCAACTCTGTTCTGGGTCTACTGGTCTTCCTCCAGACCAAACTAACTCCTGGCCATTCAACACTGTCTTTGATAGCAACATAGACTTCCTCATCACCCTGAACTTCAACTGTGTCTATCAAATCAAAACCCAGCTCAACTTCTCATGAAGTTGTTACAATTCCAATATCCAGCTGAGAAGCACTAATGGATAAAAATCATGATATCCTGATGACCAGATCATCTACAAACCACATAGCCCACTGGGAATGAGACCCCAATCTTGCAATCTTTTTGTTTTTATAAATTTCTGTGTTCCTACCAGGAAGTATTCAAAATCTTCTACATGCTTTAAGTTCCCACAGAGGTTTGGGTCCATATCCTCCAGCAGGATCCCTTGCTCTTAATTTAATAAGGTTAACACCTCTGGTCTATAACAGAAGTATAAAGTCATATAGTAGGATCTACAATTTTATGTCAAAATCGCCTTTCACATCCTCTTCCCTTCTCCGACAAAGTTTCCAACTCCATAGAGGTTATGAAAACCAGGAATCTGTTTAACAGGTGTCTAGTAATTCAGACACAAATGTAAGACAAGTTCAATTCTAGGAACTGGAGGAATAAGGTTCATTCTGATACAAGAGGGAAAATTCATTTATCATTCACAAAGTCATTCACAACTAGGCATGTCTATGTTTATGTTCACAGGCTTATTTCCGTATCTGTAGTCCCAAGCCTCTATCATTTACAATCCAACCACTTCCTCAGAAATATAATAGCTCTGTTCCTTATCTTTGCTCAAACTTTTAACTTTCCTTCAATCTAGAATGTCCTCTCCTTTCTCCACATGGGTAACTGCCCAGTCCTTTTTTAAAATTTTTGAGGCAGGGCCTTGCGAAGTTGCTGAGGCTGCCCTCTACACTACCTGTGCCTCTCAGGTCGCTGGGATTACAGTCATATGCTACCAAGCCCGACTCCTCTCGTTTCTTATGCAGTATTCAAAATCCGGTATTGTCACTTCCAATTCCACCCCTCTCTATACATGACCCTCCACAACTCACCTCCAGTAACTCTACCTAACTTTCCTATTTAGCATATACAACATTTCCATCAGTCTCTACGCAATATGGACAGTCCCATCTCTTGTTTGTCCCTAGGGACACGGTCCTTCGCATTTGTTTGATGAGACATGAGTTCAACAGTTTACTGGCTTCAGGAATTGGCCCTGACCCAATAACGATCAAACAGCCCCAACAGACGCCCCGGGATCCCCGTTGATGCTGGTTAGGATCGCTCCTCAATCCCAGGGCAGCTAACCCGCCCAAGATGGCCTTGGTGGAAAGCTCCGCTCGCGACAACAGCAAGGAGCAATTCTCCAAGCTGGACTGAGGACAGAGAAGCCGAGTAGGCGGCCGGCTCTCTCGCCAGAGCAGCGCGGAGAACCCAGACCACACCCCGCAGGCTCCGCAAAACCCGGAGCCGAGGCGACGCGTTCTGGGCCCGCGGGAGTGCGGCTGGGCAGACGCTTGCCTGGGCCGCCTCACCTTGCAATCATTGCGGACGAACATCATGCCGTGGCCGGGGTAGATGGGCCCTGAACAGAAATAACACTTCTCGATACGCATGTTGAGGCCGCGTGGGTCCCCACTGACCCAACGGCGAGCTGAGGAGGAAGTGACGCGCAGCGTCACAGGAAGTGATTCTCGTCCACGCCTCCGACCCGGAAAAGGCTCGTGTCTGAGCGCCCCTGGGATGCTATCCGAACACGACTGCGCCTCCTCGCGGCCACGCAAGCAAAAGCGTGTCGTTTGGCGCAGGCGCAAAACTGCACCCTCGATCAGACTGGGAAAGCCAGACGTGGTTCTGTGCCGTTCTTCAATCGCTGTCACAACGCCTAATTTTTCTTGGCGTTTAGGCGTGTCTTATGTCTTTTCTTTATTGTGTTTTGCCCAAAGTTCTCTCCACACATTGGGCTGTCTCTAAGAACTCGTATTTCACTGTCCGCCCTGATTTCTGCCCCAGACTTGGCAGGTGTAACAAACGTGTATGTTTGCGTCTCTGTACTCCTTCTTCATAACACTGATGAACATGCGGTTCAGCCTTTTCAACATCTCGCCGATGCCTGTTACCCCTCATCGGCATGAGTCACACTTAAGAGTAAACCAAGAGATGGAAAATTATTTTGCTTTTCTTGAATCTCCTTCTCCTATCCTCATGGACAATTAAAGGAGAGCCTCCCCAGTGTTCCTGACCTCTTTACACCGTTTCTTTCCAATTCCGTTTTATTTTGCTACTTCAACAAGAACTGCCCTACCCTTCCTACCCCTCAGGAGCAGCCTCCTTTTATCTCTGGTGTCGTTGGCCATATCTTTCATATGTTCTTAGAACCATACCCTATGGCTTCCTCTGAAACTCTTCCCTTCAGACTATGATCATACTCAGTGATTCACATTAGTTTGAATGGGCAAGTAACCAGCCACACAAGTTTTAATTTTCTTTCAGAGCTAGTATAATTAAACCCAAAAGGAAGGGGAGAAAAATGTATTCCACATCTAACTAATGGTTATGAAATCTTGGCAATATTGTTTCTTTTCGTTTATCCTGTTTTGGCACACATGATTCCTGAGTCTGAGGGCGTGTGTCTTTTATCATTAATGGAAAACTCAGCTATCTTCTATAGTCTTCATTCTGGAATTTTTTTTTTATTAGGACTTAACTCAGTCCAACATCTTTAATATTGTCGTCTTCTTCACCCAGATTTTTCATTTCTTTAGTGTTTGTAATTATTTAAAAACATTTGTACTTTGTGGTCTCCTTTTGAATACATTATTTGAAGTTCTTAAATGCCAATTCCTCTTGGCCTTATTTGTGATTGGAGTAAGGGTTAGGAAGGAATGGATTGTAATTTGAAATTGTAGCTCAACCATAGTTGGGTGTTTTCTTCAGGATTTTAACAAAGTCTATGTGGAAATGTTTCTTCTGAACAAATTTTGATTGCTTTTACTAAGTATTCATTCCACAGAGAGTCGAGTTTTTCAATGTTAATTTTTAATTTATTTTTCCTAAAAAAATTAGATCATATAAACTTGAATCTCAAACCTTGTAAAGAGCAGACTTGTGGTTATAAGCTATCACAGGAAACTAAGGACATAGACCAAATCCTGGCTGTGTATTTGGGAAAGAGAATTCTCAGTTCCAGCACCCTACTTCTAACAGATTCAAACAGTACATAGCTGTTAAGACCAAGCATCTCAACTACTGATACTGGCGAAAACAAACCCAAAGCAAACCACGTTCAGCATCAAGTTGTTTTAAGTTGCCTCTGTTGTCTTTTTTGAGGAGAAAAAGATAGTCTTGGGGCATCACTTACCTTCTTGAGAAATTATACATTTAAGATAGATTCTTTAAATTTTATCCAGCATTATCTAAGTAATTTATAATGGAAACATGTTCTAGCTATATAGTCACCCACTGTCAAAAAAGACCTGGAAAATACAACTATCGAATTTATAAAAATGCAAAACGAAATATTCCTTATTGAACATTTCTTAGATTGTTAGCCATCTTGATATGTCACAGGATAAGAATGTTCTTCTCAAATTTCCTAATTTCTTATAATGAATCAATACAAACCTATTAGATATGAGCCTTTCTAAACATTTTTATGCCGTTTTTGTTTTCAAATTTTACTCCAGTATCTTTTAACATCAATAGTGACTCCTGTTTTAAAAACTCTTTCACTTGATCCTCCTACCTCTTAAGTTCTTTGCTCAATTGACAAACATTTGAGTACCAGTTATATACCAGGCCCATTTCTAGGTGATGGCAACACAATTTTGACAAACTACCCGTCTCTGTCCTTGTGGAGCTTATATCTTAGTGAATGGGGAGAAACATAAATATATTGAGTAGCTGTGAGTGAAATTAAGAAAAGCAAGCAGGATAATGAGTCAGAGAATGACAGTTTGGTTGGGGCTATGAAAGGGAGTGACTGCTATTTTACATAAAGTTGTCTGTAAAGTCCTTCTGGGCCAGGTGACATATGAACAGTCTAAAAGGGTGGAAAAGGAAGCCACACAGATAACATAGAATACTAGCATTCGAGACAGCAGGAACAAAAATTGCAAGCGCTCTGAGGCAGGAACATACTCACTGATCCAAGGAAGCTGATGTACCAGAAAACTGTGAGTGATAAGAACAGTGATAGGAAATAAGGTCATATTGGCCGCCTCTCTACACATTTCCTCCTCATCCAGTTAGTAAATATACCCTTCCCATTGTCTCTTCCATTGTCTCTCAGTTCCGATCTTAATTCAAGCCTTAACCATCCTTGTTTTGTTTATCTGAGTTGCCTAGTACAACACTTTTTACAATATAGGTGCTCAATAAATATGAGATTATAATATTTTGAATTATTTTTTCCAGAATGTTATTTTACTGGACCATAATGAGCATCTAATGGAATCTGTCCCTTCGCATGACAACCTTTTTGTGATTGGAAATATTGTGATGAGAAATGAAGTTATGGTCACACACAAACTTGACAGATTAGATCACTCTTTTATTATCGCTTAGTTAGCATAAGGTTCACTGAAGATATGCTTTACTTTTACACGGGATTGTAAATAGAAAAATACATTGACACACAAAAATATGGTACTTTGATATCAAATTTAAACAAATTATTTTCAAAGAGAATACTGGTTATTTAATTAATAAAGGTGGTTCTTGAGTGTGCACTGTTATGCATACATTTGACTGTGTGCTGTGTTTAAGGCCAATAGAATTTGTAGCTACTTATACATCTGATTCTTGAAAACTGAAACCTTGTCTTACTTTTAATTATACAAATAGACCACATAAAATGTGCCCTGATATATAACTGCTTAATTAAGGCACACTCCACTGAAGTCTTATGACAGCTTTAGAAGGCACTGCTGTATGATTATGGCCCTGCCCTTGAAACATATGGATATCTTCCTTATTAGAATACTGTTCAAATGCGGAGGCTTGAATGACTTATTTGGTATTTAAAAGAAGCCTTCATTTCAAGCATAGAAATATGTAAAATCTTAGTATCATGGTTAGGTTTGTTACAGGAGTGGTAAAAAGACAGGAGCCAAAAACAAAAAAACATGGTAAGTGCTCAATAAAAGGCCAGATGAAACTTATTGGAAAGTAATTTTTTCTTCCTACTTGTATTTTTCTAGTTACAGTTCTGCCAAATATTTGCTGCCACAAAATACATTTGTTTTTATTTAAATTATAATAAGTGATATTTCTTCTAAACAACAACTAAGCTCTCTAGAAATTTTAATCTACAATATTTAAACCACTTTAATAAATAAGAATTTTCCTCAAAATGAAATACCTTTGAACTTTATAAGCTATTTCCATGAAGTATATTTTAAAACCACCTTTAATTTGGTATGAAGACACTTTGGCAATACAGCAGAATACATGATCTTGGCAAGACCGAGCAAGTACAGTAAACACCCATGATCCCAGTGAAAAATACAAGCTATAGAACACTTCAGTTTCTCTTAGATTGAACTAGAATACAAATCCATCTATCTTCTGCCAAATAGCAAACAGACATTCTACACAATTAAAAACAAATTTCTTCAATTGCACCAATGAAAAAATAAAACAAGTTGCAAATATCAACCATTCAGAGCCTAATGGTGAAGACAGAAGATTAGCAGTCTATAAGCTAATTGAAACTGCAGTCAGAGGATGCCAGACCAACATTATAAATATGAAGAAAAACAAGCTAAATATTTACTTATCACATATACAGAATAAACACCAGCCGTGTTCAGATGTGCCCAGGATACAGGCCAACTATAAATGAACTGAAGCTGTGAGATCTAGTTCCTGATCCTTCTATTGGTCCTTAGAGCAATGGGAATGTAGCTTTACTTGCTCATACTAATTAAGCCACCTCTGCCTCGAACCCCAACCCTTTTCCAACCAACAAAAAATCATGATGAGTCTACAGTCACGATCAGTTTATCATCAATCCAGTTTATCCAGGATCTATAGATTCTGCCATGATTTGCCCTCTATTCATGTTAAAGGGAATGCTTACCTCGAATTAATGCTCAAAGACACTAATCTGATGTGTATTTATATTCTTATTTAACATTCAAGTGGTTAAAATGGCGATTTTAGAAGGTCACCTATGGTAGGAGTTTGTAAATTTGGATTCAAAACTGTGATTATTTCATAACCATACCTAAGATCTTAATGTGAGACTCTAGGTCTATTTGCATTAAGGCAGGTGGTATTTTCCTTGTAATACACTCTTCTGTGGTTACCAATTCTTGAATTCTTGAATGATTTACTCTCATGGGCTAAGGCTGTAAAAGGCACTTTTGGCTCTGTGAAATATTTTTCCTAACTCTTAGGCTGAATCTTAAATGTTTACAAAGCTGCAACAAATTAAAGACTGGATGCTTAGTTAGTAGGTCTAAGGGAGATGGGGAGAAGCAGTTTGTACACAAGCCTATTAATCTCACTGTGCCTTGTGTCAGCCACAGGGAAGGTCACATACACAGGCCATCTGAAATATGGTGCCGCACACTTGAGTTTTCAACAACCACATGTCCCCTTCTTTTCTTCATTTAATGGATCTGTAGTGGTGTGGCCATTGGATCGCACCACTCCTTCAGGAATCCAGGACTTGTCCACGCACCGTTCCATTCGCTTCATTATCAGGTCCAGGAGCATCTCAATCGCCTGACTTATGTTTGTCCCATTGGCAGCACTAGTTTCAAAGTAGGGTATGCTGGAAGACAGAGACAACCCAGATAACAGATGGGGAGAGTCAGTGACCTTTGGCCTTGGTAATTAAAATTAGAGAAAAAAAGTTGAGTACAAATATACAAGATGACAAACATTTAACCACCCCAGTGTAAAGTGAAAAATAAAATAAAATAATCCACACTGTATTCCTAATAGAAATGTAAAACTAGAGGTTTTAGGGGCTGGGGCTGGGTCTCATCGGTAATGCACTTTCCTGGCATATATGAAGCATGGGTTTGATTCTTAGCACCACATATAAATAAATAATAAGGGTCTATCAACAACTAAAATTTTTTAAAAAAAAACTAGAGGGTTTAGACCACTTCCAAAGATTTTTTTAAGAAAATATATTTATGGAATATACATTTTACAAACATTATAGAATGAGAACTTTTTTTTAATTTTTTTAAAAATATTTATTTTTTAGTTTTCAGCGGACACAACATCATCTTTGTTTGTATGTGGTGCTGAGGATCGAACCCAGGCCACACGCATGCCAGGCAAGCGCGCTAACGCCTGACCCACATCCCCAGCCCCAAATGGGAACTTTTTTGACTTTTAAAAATTTAAAAATTAATTCTTGATATAAGAAATGAAATTCCTCTGTGTGAATGTAGAACTGGAAAACCTTTAGAATAAAATGTAAGAGAATATCTTTATTACATAAGGAAATATTTATAGCTCAAACACAGAGGAAAAGCTTGATAATCTTGTTTGTGTTGTGTGTTTGCTTTGTTGAGACCAGGTCTTGCTATGTTGCTGAAGTTGGCCTCAAACTCCTGGGTTCTAGGAATCTTTTTCTACCTCAGCCTCCAGTAGCGGGGACTATAGACATGCACCTAGCTCAATAATCTTGATAATAATAATAAAATTAAACTTTGGTGCCATGGCATATATCATAAACAAAGTTAGAAGGTGAGGTACTGACCAAAATAAATGGTTGTGTTAATATAACTAACAAGTGAGCTAGTATCCAAAAAATATAAATAATTCAATTTAATTAAAATGATAAATAGGTGAAGCAAAAATAGACAAAGAACCTGAAAAGGAAATTCTCAGAAAGAAATAACATTAGTGAAATAATGTTCAACCTCACCAAAAACAAGGGAAATGCAAATTAAAGTAATGGCATATTAATTAATTCACATCCATCACATTGGCAAAAATAGAGTCTCCCACTACCAAGTGCTCCCAAGGCCACAGGAATGGAGAATTAAAACTACTTTGGAAACAATGTATGTATGTACTATGAACCAGCAACACCACTTCTAGATACACATTCTAAGGTTAAGTGTAGACTTAGTGGTGCACAATAAATGAGTTACCATGGAGATATCATGGAACTCTCACACCTTGGAGCAACTGAGAATGGCCTCGGGCAGCCAGAGTCCCTGAGCCAGTATTCTACTGCCTTGATCAAGCCTTGTTATTCATCTCAGGGAACTGTACAAATTGTATAATTTCCTGTGTGTGCTATGTTGTGAAAAAATATTGAGCAGTACTGTCCCAGAAGAGCACTATCCAAAAGAACTTTCCACAAAGACAGAAATTATCCACACCTATGCTGTCCAATAGTAATCTGTAACTATTGAGAACTTAAAATGTGACTAATGCAAGCAATGACCAATTTTTAAATTTCCACTAATTTTAATTCACATAATCACATGTGTCTATTGGCTACAATATTGGACAGAACAGAACTGAAGAAACTCACATATGTTCACATGGCATCAGTGAACAAAATATTTACTGAAGTACCATCTGTAATAGTGGAAATTTTAACATTAATGCCCATCAGTAAGTGCATGGATAAATAAACTGTGCTATCATCATACAGTGGAATATTGTGTAATGCCTACAGTGTATCAACATGGCAAAAATTCCCCAAATTAAATGTCAAGCAAAAAAAAAAAAAAAGTTGCTTGATACGAAATCATTTGTGTAAAGAGCACAAAATAATTACACATTGTTCTGAAAACACACCTATGTATTAAATGTGTAACATCTAGGATTGGAAAGAAAGAATGCTTTCAGATGAAAGTTAAACTTCTAGATCAAATGTGTATAAGTCACAGTGGGAACTTGTTATGTTGTATGAGGCCAAAGTAGAGAGGTTGCAGAGTTGAGTCATTCAGCTGCTGAAGAATATACAACCAAAGGACCTAGATTCTGCCATCCTTCTGGCTTCCTCAGTCTGACTCCCTTCATGACCACAGAGGCAACATTCCAGCTGTGAAATCTCATCCCACCAAAGTTCCAAGGAAGAAAAGATTCTCTTCCTCTGTGTGTATCTCTCAGGAGAGAGGGAAGAGTTCCTTTCATATCTCGTTGCTCAAAACCAAACATTGGCAAAGAATGGTAATGACTGTGGCAGCTGGGGGCAGAGTAGTGATCACATGGCAGCTGCTAGAAAGAACTGGATTCTCATTTCAGGTCATCCTCAGAAAAGCTAAGTCTGCCATAAGTAAGGATCAGGAAATCTGATCCTTATTGCAGAACCATCCCTGACTACAGAACCTGGGGTTGTATCTCCCACTTCATCCTTCCAGATCATCCCAGAAGATCTGTAAGAGTCCATGTGGAAAATCATTAGGAGTTCTTGGAAGGGAAAGAAGGAAGATTGTCATTTGGAATAAAAACAGAGTTGAATGTGTTCTAGAAAGAGGGATTTTCAAACTCGTGGACAACAACCTGCAGAAGACAACTTCAAAAAACCAACTCAAAGCAATATGCAGAGACGTATGGTAAAAGGTGCCTCCTCAAGAAAAAAGACAGCTCGTTCACAAAGAATCTTGAGCCAACTCTCCAAGGAAGATGGAGGTAGGGGCACTCTGCATAAAACCCCCCTTCAGAATCCTTGAGGAAGACAAGAAAGAAGGACAGAAGACTCCTAGAAATGGAGATGGTGGCAGTTCCAGCAAAGCTCTCCAGCATCCTCCCCCCAGAAAAAAAGGGGAGGCAGGGAAATCCCACTGTGGAAAGTGAACAGACATTTTAGAATGGAAGTTAAAGTGAAGATTCCTGAAGAATTACAACCTTGGCTTGTTGAGGAGTGGGTCTTAGTAACCAGCAGCAGTTTCAACTCTCTGCTAAGACGTAGGTGCTATTCTAAAATTTGTAAGAAATCACAGGAAAATGTCAACCATAAAGAGTAAGCAGTATATAAAGCTGTGGCAGGAATAAGAATATTTCAATGTGATATTGGGCACTTAGTTGCTCTACAAATGAGAGAGGCCCCAGTATGCCAAAATCCTTTTGGCCTACCCTAATGCGCCAGTGTCCCGGGTTTATGGAGCGCCACACCTACTGAAATTATTTGTAAGAATTTGATCAAGTTGGCCTATGCTGTCTTTGATGAGAAGAACCTTACATTACTATTGGGCTATCTGTATGATTTCCTAAAATATCTGGCAAAGAATTCTGCATCTCTGTTAACCGCCAGTAATTACAAAATAGCTTCTGCTCAGTAATACCACAAAGCCCTGTGAGAGGTTCTACTGATCACTCACTGTTACATCTGGTATCTGTAAACACCAAGAACAATTCTGTTCCTGGTTTTTGTGTTTTTTTTTTTTCCTATAGCTAATGTTCTTTAAAACTGTTAAGATAGGGATAGGGATGCTCATCCATGGTAGAGCACTTGCCTAGACTCTGGGCTCAATCCCCAGTATGAGAAAAAAAAAATGAAGTAAGATTGTTAATGTATAGCAGGGCTTATGTTTCAGTTTGTTTTCTGTTCTGTTTTAAACAGAAAATAAAAGGAGTGAAAACTCCCTCCTCATTTCAAAGTTGCTACCAGTTTATGCAGTAATTAGACAAAGAAGAAACATTTAATAGAACATTTTATTGCCTAGTTGACAACACCACGTGAACGCTGGTGGTTCTATCCCTTGACACTACACAATTTTCTAATGTGTGTTAAACGCTATGTGTCAAAATGCCTTGATTCCTAGTGCTAAAGCTTCAACTTAATGTACATACCCCAAAACCCAAATGTTTCTGCTCTTTTTTTTTTCCAATGGAGCTTAAAGTAAAATAGCCCGTCCTCTGAAATCCATGCATGTCATTGTGTAGGCATTCTTTCTTTCCTCAAATTGTTGAAGGATGGTGGTTTGATTCTTGGTTTTTGTATTTGTGTCTAATGTACATTCTAATATGATAGAGGCAATATGTTATTGTATAGTCACAGTTTTCTGGAAAAGTTGATATTTTAGGAATTGTACTTCAGATCTTAAGTAAAATTTGTTTCTAAATTTCAAAACAAAACCAAAAAAAAGGAATGAAAAAATCATAACTGACTTACATCAAGTAGTCAGGCTGGGCTTGGGGCTCACACCAGCATCTCCTGAATAGTAAGTCCTCTCAAAGCAAAACAGACAAAGAAAGAAAATGGGAATTCTGTGAAGAAGGGAAGGGGTAGGGCACGGATGTTGTCTTCCAACAATGTTGTGTAGGAAGGAGACAGGATGATTTTGTCAGAGGAGGTAGAAAGGAGAATGGATTCAGGGAGGAGAACAGAATCTGTGTGTTCTGCAAGACAGGGTTGCTCCACTGATTCCACCATGCCCGTATCCTACTCCCCTTTCATTTTTATCCAGAAGAAAAAGTTCTTAAACTAGACCTGTGGCAAGAAAGGCCCAGAGACTCTAGGAGGTCTAAACAATGTCATTTAGTTAATAAATGACACAATAAAAAATGGGGTTCTTCCTATCTCCCCACAAAGGTCTTCAATGTTCTCTCAGGGTTTATTAGATACTGATTTCCAAAACTACTAACTAAAAGGGGAAAATAATATAGTTGACTTCAACTTTTACAACACGCTAATAAATATTTTCTGAACTAGAACTATTATCATGTTTTGGTGACCCCCCTCCTTTTTGCTTTGGGGATTCCTCTTATTTTCTTTACAGCATTCTAGTTTGCCTGGATTGAAACAAGTTGGTATATATTATTTATTTTAAAATGAAGGGGGAAATTGGGTAG